CTCAGAATCTGACACTTTAACAGATGCCACTGAATTTAGAAAACTAATTGGCAGACTCTTATATCTCATTATATCTAAACCTGATATGTCTTATAGTGTTCAATGTCTAAGTCAATTATTGAGTAAACCTACCACAGATCATCTTTCAGCTGTTCACGGAGTGTTAAGGTATGTTAAAGGTACTACTGCTCAAGGTATATTATTCCCCAGAACTTTTTCTTTACATTTAATTGCCTATTCTAACAGTGACTGGACTGGATGCTTAGATACCAGAAGAAGTATATCTGGATATACTATTTTTCTTGGAACTCTCTTATCTCTTGGAAATCTAAGAAACAACCCACAGTCAGTAGATCTTCTGTTGAAGCATAATATAGGGCTCTAGCATCCACTACTTGTGAGTTACAGTGCCAACTATACTTATTTGATGATTTCAATATACCACACTCATCTCCTACTGTTGTCTTTACAGATTCAAAATCTGCAATGGCAATGGCTGCCAACCTAGTTTTTCCTGAGAGATCCAAGCATATTGAGCTTGATTGTCACCTTGTAAGGGAAAAGGCCAAGATCAGATTGCAAATGTACTCACAAAGCCTACCAGAACCATTATTTCATGCACTTATCTTCAAGTTGAATGTGCATAACATACACAGTCAGCTCGCGCGGGACAATAATATTATATATTTACTATTTTGTCCCTTATCTTATGCAAAATAGCATAGAGTTGTCATTGTGTATTTAGCAACTTTAGTTGAATTATGTTTAGTATTAATAGGTAGTATAAATAATTCGTGCAAAGGCATGATGAACTTAGTATAAATATATAGTAAACATAACTATTGTACCCTAATTTGTTGGGATTAGAATAAAGTAGTGTGGGAAGAGTGGATTGTACTGTATAAATAAAATTAAACTCACATTGATGCGCATGATTGTTTTATTTTTGAATGGACAAGGAACTTATATTAACTGATCAAAGAGTATCGTTACATACAAGATCCTTAAGCCAAGAAGGAAAAACATCCACCTTTCAAAAGAAATGGGAGCTCGAGAAAGAAGCAAAAGATGCAATGGCATGAGCAACTTTGTTTGTCGATCGACGCATATGGTAAATTTGTCTTATTGTTGCTGATGCTTCAGTTAAGAAAGCGCGAATATCATTAGCCCAAGAGCAAGTGTAGCCATGTGACTCATTGATGTCGGCAACAGCTTGTACCGCCAATAATGAGTCCGAGAAAATCTGAAGAGGGGATTGCTTCAACTCATCACAATGTTCCAATCCCTGCTTAATGGCTAAAAGCTCACAATTAATTACTGAGCACGGATTGCTGACAGGTCTTCCAAAAGCGAAGATCGGATTTCTTTGATCATTCCTAATGATTCAACCAATTCCGAATCTACCCTCTTTCATGTTGACACAAGCATCCACGTCGAGACGGACAGAGTGTAATGGTGGAGGCTTCCAGCTAAAATTATTCTCATGTTCTTGGTCTTGGGATAACTTTGATTTTCGGCTGTCACATGAAGATATTTTAAAATTTTGAATTAAATTCTCGGCATCCTCCACAGGTTGAATGCACTCTCTTGAATTAGGGTGATGAATAACTCTCTGCCTTTCTTTCCAAACAAGCCACGAATGCATTGCAAAAATTTCAAATTCTCTCGAAGACATGTAAGTTTGCATTCAAACACACAAATCCAACGTAGAGCCGAATTTTGCCGATTTAAGGAGCGGGTAGAAAACATAGTTTTTCCACAATGGCAGCACACGGGGGCGAAAAAAAACTGAATGAGTGGAAGAATCACAAAAAGACATACAGAGCTTGCATCCGAGTATAACTGGAACACGGTGGTTTGCTAAATTATGAGCTGATGGAATAAAATCATTTGCAAGACGCCACCATAAGGTGTTAATTTTTTGCTGGATTTTTAGCGCCCAAAGGAATTTCCACCATTTTTTCGTACGCTCCTCAGATTGATTCGCGGGAGGATTGTAGAAACCCATTTCAACCTTGTATCCCTCTCGAACTGAGTAATTTCCTTTTTCATCAAAGCACCAGTATCTCTCATCCTCTTTATCTGGCCCTGGCATTGGAATTTGGAGAATTTCCTTGGCAATAAAATGAGGGAATAAAAAAGAAACAAGACTTTCATTCCAATTACCTTCCAAAAGCAGGTCTTCAACCTTGCAAACAGATGGATAAGAATGTTGCACAAACGAGAAGCATTTGCGTCGAGAAGGGAGCCAAACATCTCGAAAAATATCAATTTTTTTGCTGTTACCAATCTTCCATGCAGAAGCTGCGGTAATGATGTCCCTACTCCAGACATAGAACGCCAAATGAAAGAAGGTTTACTTCCCAAAGGAGCAAATAGGATGTCCGAGTGTTTGTAGTAGCGCGCTTTAAGGACTCTTGCCACCTGGTAGTCCGGGCTTTTCATTATGCGCCAAACCAACTTAGCTTGAAGAGCTTTGTTAAAAGCCGATAAATTCCGAAAGCCCATACCACCCTGACATTTTGGCTTGCACAAAAGTTCCTAGCGGCACCAATGCATTTTCTTTGATCCTTCCTCCATTTCCCACTAGAAATTTGCACAATCGCGTTCGATTTCTTCACACAAGGACGAAGGAATACGGAAGCAGGACATAGCATATGTTGGAATAGCCTGGACAACTGATTATAGAAGAACTTTTCTACCTCCCTCCGAAAAATATTTGTGTCTCCAGCTTTGAATTTTATCAGCAACTTTCTCTTTCAGATACCCGAACTGAGTACGCTTACTTCTAGCTGAGAACGTGTGGAGGCCCAGATATACTTCATGACCTTGAACAACAGTCATTTTGAATACATTTTTTATACTGGAGGCAACCTCTGGAAGAGTGTTCGGGCTGAAAGAGAGGGATGATTTATCGAAATTAATTACTTGTCCTAACGCTTTCTCGTAAATTTGCAGAACATTCTGAATGTGGACCGCGTCTTGAGTATCGGCTCTGAAAAAAACTAGACTGTCGTCGGCGAAAAAAAGATGGGAAATACTCCGACAATTATTTGCAATACGGATCCCTCTAAAGAATTTCTTCTGTTTGGCATGAATTAAGAGTGAGGAGAGACCTTGAGAAACCAATGCGAATAAATACGGCGAGAGTGGGTCACCTTGACGGATGCCACGATGCGGTTTTAATGCCCCGAAACTGTGTTGGTTGAGCTTAAAAGAGAAAGTAACCGAGCGAACACACTTCATAATTTTCTCGACCCAAGATTGATCAAACCCCAAGCTCCTCACTATGGCTTCTGAGAAGTTCCATTCGACGCGATCGTAAGCTTTGCTCATGTCCAGCTTGAGGGCCGCATAACCTCTCCTGCTTTGACGGTGGTTTTGCATCCAGTGCAATGTTTCAAAACCCAGAATGATGTTATCTGAAATTAGTCTCCCAGGGACAAACGCACTTTGAAACTCGTTTATAACTGACGGGAGGATCACCTGCAGACGGTTAGCCATAGTACGAGCAACAATTTTTTATGAGAAATTACACAGACTAATTGGCCGGTAATCCTTGATAGTAATAGGATTCTTTGTCTTCGGAATAAGCGTGATGACAGTTTCGTTCCAACTTGAAAATTCAGTGCCATCATTGAGAACTTTTAACACTTCAGAGCAAACATCCGGGCCAATAATATTCCAAAATTGTTGGTAGAACATGCCTGGAAAACCATCCAACCCAGGAGCTTGATCAGAGCCTAGAACAAAAGTTGCCGTTTTAACTTCTTCCTCCTTGAAAGGACTACATAATAAGAGATTCATGCTATCGTCAACCTTCGGTTTTACAACGTCGCAAATTGGTTTGAAGCGAGACTCGTTTGGATTATTCGATTGAAAGAGCGAATTGAAGTAATCTGTTACAATTTCCATCATTCCTTCTCGACTAGAGCAGAGATCTCCATGCGAATTGAGCAGGCCTTTAATTTCATTCCTCGACTTCCGGCAAAGTAAGAAGCTTCGGAATGAAAAAATTTTGAGTTTTTGTCTCCTTGAGGTAGCCATGTTACTCTGCTTCGTTGTCTCCAGTAACTTTCTTCTTCAAGTGTGAGTTTATCTATATGCGCCTCCAAACTCCAAATGTTATCATAGTTGGCATTGTTAATTGGGGATAAGATCGTAGTATTTATTTTCCACAATGTTTGTTTTGCTTGATAACTCGTGAGATTTAAGTGCGTATTCTCAATTTTGCCCTCATTCCAACAAAAAATTAACATCATCATTTTTTTTTCTTCCAATCAAAACACCCCATTTTTAATTATCATTCTTTCCTTTCAATCCTTTTCTTTCGTTTTTTTTTTTTTTTTTTTTTTTTTTTTTTTTTTTTTTTTTTTTTTTTTTTTTGAATCTTTCATTGCCAAGCTTTTTCTCTTTCACAAAAAAAAAACTATATATCTTTCTTCAGCAAATTTCAGACTAATTTTTTTATTTGTTCATATTAGAATATCACTTGTGAATTGTCCCACATTGTTGATACATGGAAAATAGACCCACCTTATAAATTTAATGGCTACTCCTCCTTCCACCAATTGGTTTTGGGATGAAACCCCACTTGGACTTCATATGGGCTTTTCCCTCTCACGGTGCGCTTCATGTTAGTAGGACCGCAACCGTTTTTCCCCCAGTTTCTTACATGGTATCAGAGCCGGTTCTATTGGGACTGTGCGATGACGTACCCGTTTATGGGAGTCTACTTCTAGTAGGCTTGGGGCACCCAGTTGGGCTTGGGCTTCTCGCATCCGTTTATGGGAGTCTGCTTCCCCACGTACCCGTTTATAGGAGTCTACTTCTAGTAGGCTTGGGGCACCCAGTTGGGCTTGGGCTTCCGAAGGACTCACAAATGAGGGGGCGTATTAGAATATCACTTGTGAGTTGTCCCACATTGTTCATACATGGAAAATAGACCCACCTTATATGTCTAATGGGCTACTTCTCCTTCCACCAATTTGTTTTGGGATGGAACTCCACTTGGGCTTCATATGGGCTTTTCCCTCTCATGGTGCGTTTCATGTTAGTGGGACCACACCCGTTTTTCCTCCAGTTTCTTACAGTTCATGTTCTTT